CAAACTCCCAGAGGTGAAGCCAGGTGTCTATGATTTCTTTTCTTTTTTTAAAAAAACAATTTAATGTTTATTTATTTTAGAGAGAGAGAGAGAGAGAGAGAGACAGTGCGAGCAGGAGAGGGTCAGAGAGAGAGGGAGAGACAGAATCCAAGGCAGGTTCCAGACTCTGAGCTGTCAGCACAGAGCCCAACGTGGGGCTCGAACTCATGAACCATGAGATCATGACAGGAGCCAAAGTCGGACACCTAACCAACTGAGCCACCCAGGCACCCTCTACGATTTCTAACTCCAAGGATGATCACAGACGACGTGCTTCCTCGCCCCCTCCTTCCCCCAAGAGAAGCTCTCCCTGAGGCTGTCAACATGGTGGCCACTCCTATCGGAGAAAAAGAGAAAAGGCTAAAGATTTTAAACACCCGGGACCCCTATGCCCCTCATCTACTACTGGGACTCCCAACCCCAGGGGCCAGAGAGCTTTCCTTTCATACCTGCTCTTCTCAAATTAAGAGCTGAATTCAAATACAGGACTCCTGACATGTAGGCCTGGTGACTCTGGGATGTGGGTTCACGTTGCGGACCTTGATTCTCTCCCCTGTAAATGGGCATGATGTTAGCACGTCCCAGGGCTATTACAGAATCATCCATTGCGTGCGCCTGTGTGTGTGTGTGTGTGTGTGTGTGTGTGTGTGTACTCAGTCAATGCTGCCACTTGAACATTCTCCACAAGTGCTAATTTGTCTCCTTCCCTGCCCAGCTGCTACCTTGCCAGTTCTGACCCTCTCCCACCCACTCCACATCTCCACTCCCCCCTTGAGGGCTGACGGCATGGGGCAATGGAGCCGCTCACTGGGGCAGAGGCAGAGGAAAGGAGCTACAGATCCGCGAGATGACACAGGACCTATAGTTTGCTAACCGCATACTGTACCGTGTACGCAGAATTCTGTCTCGGCGGTAGACCTTATGTTCAGTGCCCTTCTCGCCACAAAAGAAAAAAGTCAATTTTTAAAAAGTTTTAAATAAAAGAAGCCACCGGAGGGGCGCCTGGGTGGCTCAGTCGGTTAAGCCTCCGACTCCCGCTCAGGTCATGATCTCATAGTTCCTGAGTTGGAGCCCGGTGTCGGGCTGTGTGCTGACAGCTCAGAGCCTGGAGCCTGCTTCGAATTCTGTGTCTCCCTCTCTCTCTCTCTGCCCCTTCGTGGCTCTCACTGTCTCTCTCTCAAAAATAAATAAACATTAGGATCGAGAGACAGCTGGGGGGGGGGGTGGCCGGAGGCGGTGGAAACGTCCCCGGTTTGGAATCAGGTGGTCTGGAGTTTGAATCCTACCTCCAGCCCACACTGGCCAAGATCTAAGACAACTATTTAGCTTTGCTGGGCTTCCTTTTCTGACACTGAGCAATTACATCTGCCTTTTTGGGGGCGCACATGATGATGTGGCAAAATAGTCCAGTTAGCCTGGGGTAGGCACAGCGATGGGTGGCCCATCCGTGCTGGCTCCTGCCTCATCCTCTCCTTCCACAAATGCCCAGGGGGCCTCAGCCTTGGACCAGACCCTCCAGAACCTTCCCCGTCCTGTAAAGGGGCGGTCCCCTGCCCTGCGGGCATTCACTCAGCCTCCAGGGGAATCCTGTTGGTGTTTGAAGGAGTTTGGGATTATAGGAACCAGCCGATCTCTGGTTATATGATCCGTAACATGGAGACCATTCATCTTTAGCTGACTTAGCAATAGGTGTAGAGTTTAAAAATGCCTCCCGGAACAATGTAAGTTTCGAGACTCCTGGGAATATCTGTATTTGAAACAAGAATGTCAAATTATAAGGATGCCCTGTTGGCTCAGTTGGTAGAGCGTGTGACTCTTGATCTCGGGGCTGTGGATTCAAGCCCCACGTTGGGTGTAGAGATTCCTTAAAAGTAAAATCTTTTAGGGGCACCCGGGTGGCTCAGTTGTCTGAGTGTCAGCTTCAGCTCAGGTCATGATCTTGTGGTTCATGAGTTCGAGCCCAAGATCACGAGGCTGTGAAGGGCTGGACCCAAGTCTCAAATCCAGATATTCAAGCTCCAATCCAGGCCTTTTGATTGCAATGCAGGTAAAAAGAGACGTGGACACTGGGATGGACCGTAGACACTGCTCATTTCTGTGGCCGTTATGAACAATCCACCTTTCCAGAAACGGAATGTATTTCTCTTAGCATTCATTCATTCACCCCCTCACTCACCTACTCATCCGTTAGGCACCTACATGGCTCCAGGCACATGTCCTTCAACATACTTATACCATGTTCTCCTCACAGGCCACACTCAGGGCTGGCTCAGGAGCCGGTGGGGATGAAAACAATGACCTCTGTTATGGGACAGAACCCCCCTCCCCCCATGCACGTAAGCTCTGTGTGGTGCATCCCCAGGGGAGGGGGCTCAGGGGAGGAGAGGATACAGTTTACTTGCCGAAATTACAGGAAGTTTCCCAGAAAAAGCATCCTTTGAGGTGAATCTGAGACGATGAAGAGAATTTTTAAAAAGGAGTTTATGAGGGGGACGCCCAGGGGGCTCAGTCGGTTAAGCATCTGACTCTTGATTTCGGCTCAGGTTGTGAGTTTGAGCCCTGCATCGGCTCTGCACTGACAGCATGGAGCCTGCTTGGCATTCTGTCGCTCCCTCTCTCTCTGCTCCTCTCTTGCTCTCTCTCTCTCTCTCTCTCGAAAACTGAACTATAAAAAAATTTTTTTTAAGGTAGGTTATGAGGGAAAGGGCATCCCACGTGGAGGGTGCAGGGTGGGAAAGGCAGGGCGGCCTGGGGTGCGGGACGTCGTCAGAGGAAAGTGTGTCCGCAGCGACAGCACGGAACTCTGCATGTTTGAAGCAGAGAACTTCAGCCTTGGTTTTCTGCACGTAGCCAACACCGTCGTCGTCAGAGGGCACCCCAGCCCTGAGCCTTGGCTGCTGGCTCAGGAATTAGGCAGCTGTGGAAATGACAGAGGGCCAAGCAGACAATCACTACTGGGCCTTGAATTAATTACCAGAAACTTGCGGACAGCACCTTGAAGTGTGCACAGCAGAGAGCACACTCGTCCAGCCAGCACCTGCCTGAGCGCACGGATCACGGACAACCTGAGCGTCCTCTCTGTTGATTTAATTACATGCACGGCCAATGAAATGATTATGCATTTTTAACCAAGAAGCCAGTGACATTTGCAGAGATTACGGTAAGAATGCTCTCACGGGCGTCTCTCCCTGGCTCTCGGAACACCGCTCCCCTGGGCAGCCCACTTACCAGGCTGCTGCCCAGCGCAGCCAAAGCACTAAGAAGGGAGGATGCCATCCTGAATTGGCCTAAACCCACAGTGGAAGGAGCCAGAGCCTCGTCAGGGTACCCAGAGTCCCACCTTTTGGTTTTGCCTTCGGTGACCTTGTCAGCCTGGCTGGTGTCCCACCAAATGGATCGTGACCACGTAAACACGTGTCAGTTTTGCGTTGGATAACAAGACTCACAAGCTAGCCAGCAATCCGTCACTGGGTTCTTCCTAAAAGGCTAGCTGCTGGGGTCAGAGAGGAGAGGCCCGTGGTATCTGGGGGCCCAAGGGACAAACACAAAAGTCGCGTGTGGCACAAGCCCTAACGGAGGCCAGAGCAACACTGGGGTCCTGACCTGAAAAAAAAAAAATCCTGACAACTTCTGGCAGAAGAGACCGGAAGCCCGTTGGCATATGTTGAAAGGGACGTTTGTTTATGGTGTGTGCCTCGGTGTTTTTCGTAGGGATCGGAAGTTACGATGATTTATCAGTTTAAACGTTTACTTGGAAGACAACCGCACAATTCCCCCCCACCCCCCCAGCATCTTTCAAACACACCAGGACGCTACCCAAGGTGCCCAAAGGCTCGGTCCTTAATCGATAATGGTAATACCATGGGAACATCGACGAGGAGACACGAACCGCCGGGCTGTGGGCTGGGAGTCTTGGAACACGACCTCGGCAGCCGCACTTATAGCTGTTTTATGTCACATGGACCCGGCGTGCTTACGATTTTTAACAACAGCCTTAAAAAGTCCAGTGACATCTGTTGAGAGTTTAATTGTGAGTGTAAAAAAAAAAAATCATTAAAGGCACAGTCAAGAGATCAGTTCCCTTACTGTTGAAACAACACGGTGGCCATCAGGCGGTGGGGGAATCCGGCGACAGGACTAATTGAGTAGAAGCGCCAGCGTGCAGGGGGGCGGCCGACGCAGGCAGGGGAGGGGGCGACCGGGAAAAGGGGGAGCCCCGCGAGCCGGAGGAAAAAACAAATGGGGGGAAAAAAAGAAAAAATGGACATTTCCCTTCCCGCCGACAGTGTCCAGCAGCCCAGCCTGAGGCCGGGCGGCCCGGGGTCCCCGCGTCCGGCGCGCGCGGGCGGAGACGCGGAGGGGCGTCCGGCCCCAGCGGTCCCGCGGCCGCCACTTTTGTTCTCGGGTCGGTCGGGGTGCGGGGCCGCGGCAGGGCCGCAGTGCGCACGCGCGGGCGGGGCGGGGGCGGGGCGGGGCGGGCCGCCGGGCTCCGGCGCCGCCCCCCGCCGCCCCGGCCCGCTCCATCCGGGCACTGCCGAATTAGCATCGCGCCGAGGCACAACTTTGCCGCGGCCCAGCGAGATCCAGGCGCGCGCCGGAGGAAATATAGTCCCTGCCGGCCGGCGGCGGGCGCGGGCGGGCGCGCGCGGGGCTGCGCGGGGCTCCGGGCGCCGGGGGGCCATGCGCCGGCCAGCGCGGGCGGCCCGGGGACCCGGCGCAACTTGCCGGGCAGCCTGAGGAGTTGGGGCGGCCGCGGCGCCCGGCCGCCTTTCTTCCCCCTCGCCAAATCCCCCCCCCTCGCTCCTTCCCGTTCGGCCTTGGGGGAGGGGGCTCGTGTCCCCCCCTCCCCCCCTGCCCCCGGAGGCCCGGTCCGCCCCCGCCCGCGCGCGGCCCCGCGGAGTCGCGCAACTTCCCCGGAGCCGGGGCCAAAGTGAGCGCAAAGTGCTGCCCAAGTTGCCGGGATGGAGCTGCAGAGCCGGCCCGAGGCGCTCGCCGTGGAAGTTGCGCGCCACCAGGTAGGCGGCCGGGGCCCCGGGCCAGGACTGGGGGGGGGCTTCAGGGGCCCCAGCCCGGCGTCCTCTCCCGCGTCGCGGGGTCTGCGGGGCCGGAGGTGCCCAGAAAGGGCTCCTGCTGGAGCCTGCTCCCGGACGAGGGAGTTTGTACCTGCTCGGCTGCCCCCCACCTCCTCCCCTCGGGCTCCCCCTCCCCTCGTCTCTTGCAGTCTTGCACAGTTGGGGGGGGGGGCTGGAGCCCGTGGGACCTGAGCCCCGCGTCTCCTCTTTCTCCACTAGGGGTCTGGGGGCCGGAGGGGGCCCCTTCGTGAGCCTGCCCCGGGGTGCTTGTGTGAGAGTGCGGACCGGCCCCCACCCCGGCGCAGCACCGCACAGTTTGCAAAAGTAGTTTCGGGGATTGCTGCCCGGGCCGGCAGCGGCGCTGCGGCGTGCGCGTGTGTGTGTTGGGGAGATTAGGACGCGACTTGAATATTTATGAGCTTTGCTCGACACGGACTCGCCGTGTTTACTTGGCTCTTTGTTCCTCCCCCCTCCCCCGACACACAGTCACACTCACACTCACTCGCACACGCACCCCTGCCTGCAAACTTGCACGGCTCGGGGCGCGCCGCCGGGTGGCCGCGGCCCCCGCCCCGCCCCGCGAGCTGCCCCGATGAGGCGGCAGCCACAGGTAAGCGGCCCCGCGCGGCCGGGACGCGCGGCCCGGGGAACTTGGGGCGCGCTGCGCACGGCCGGGCGGCGGCGGCGCCCCGGGGCGCACTGGACCCCCCCGGGGCGGCCGGCCTGAGCCCGCTCCCCCGTGTTTCCGCAGAACGGCGACCTCAAGAAGCAGCTCCACGAAAGGCAGCCGCGGATCGCCGCGCTCAGCGACAAACAAGTAAGCGAGCTGGAGGCTGCGCCCCCCAACTCCGCCCGCGGTGGGGAGGAGGGGGCGCCCGGCACTTTGGCAGCCCCCTAAAAAAGTGCCGGCCTCGGCGCCGCGCGCTCAGACTCCCAGAGGAGTCTGTCTGCAGCCCTCAAAGTTGCCCGCCCTCCCCCTTTTCTGGAAAGAAAGAGCCGGGGTCCAGGAGGCCGAGGGGGGAGAGCGAGGCCCCGGCGGCGGCCGAAAGGGACGAGCCGCGCTCCGGAGGCGGCGAGCAGCCCGGCGTCCATTTTGAGTTGGTGGACATGTTTTTGGAATGTGGCAGTTTCTCCCGGCTGGGGGTCCCCCACTCCGCGCGGGTGTGAGGGGAGGGGTGGCGGGGGGCGGCATTTTAGGACCTGGACACCCAACTACTTGGACGCGGTTTCTGGATTCCATGGCGAATCTTATTTAAAGAATCGTTTCTCCGGGCACCCCCCCCCCCCTTCTCCAGCATCACTTTTTATTCTTGGAACCTGACGCCAGCTCCGGGGGAACAAAAGAAAGGCGCCCCCAGGACCCCCCAGTTCTGCCCCAACTTTGGTCTCTGGGCTTCAGGTGTAGATTCAGACTCCCGACAAGCGCCTCGCGCTGGGGGGGAGGGGGCGGCACGGCCGCCCGCCCCCCTCGCGGCCCCTCCGGGGAGGAAAAGTTGTCCATTGTGAGTTAGTTGCGCTGAGCTCAGCGCTCGGGGTTTCAGCACCACGAACAGATGCCGCCGCCAGAGCGCGGCCGGCCGCGCGCCCCCGCCCCCTCGCTCCCTCCCCGCCGCCCGCGCCCCTCCCCCGCCGCCCCTCCCCCTGCGCGCCCCGCGCCCCGCGCCCCGCGCCCCGCACTCGCGCTCCCGCCCCTTCCCCGCGCCGCCCGAGCCGAGAACTTTGAGCGGCGCAGCCAATGGCGCTTCCGGGGCTCCGAGGCGGGCGGGGGCGGGGGCGGGGGCGCGGGCGCCCCTCCCCACGGCCCCTCCCTCCGCGGGCCCGCCCCCGCCCCGCCGCGCCCCCTGGCCGTCGATCGCGCTTCCTTCGGAATGCCGGCCGCGGCCGCCAGCGCCGAACTTGGACAGCGCCGCCCCCCCCCCCCCCCCCGCCCCCGCCGCTGGGACGGCCCCTCCGGCCTTCCCGCGCCCCGCGCCGCGGGTCGGAGCCCCCTCCCCGGAGGGGTTTTCGGTGCAGGGAGAGATGTGGACGAGATCGGCGGGGGTGGCGGCGACCGCGGAGCGGGAGAACTCGGAGGCCGGGTGCAAATTTCGAGTCTTTAAAGTTGAAAAGTGGTGGGAGGGGGCGTGCCGGAGAGGAGGGGGCCGGGGGTCGCGGAAAGAAAGATGGCTGTGCCCGCGGGTCCGCGCCCGGGCGGGGGCGGCCGGCTGGACGGGTGGGTTGGGGCGAATGCATTAACCCCTTTCTGTCGCGGCCGCGGCCCCCCCCCTTCCCGGCCGCGCGCGCCCCCGTCCAGGCCTGGAAGCTTCCATTCCCGCCGGAGGGGGGTCCGGCGCGCGGCCCCGGCGAAGTCGGGGGGTTCGCGGGGGGAGGGGACCCGGGCCCGGCATTACCATTTTGATTGCTTTGATGCCATTTTTTGAGGGGGAGGGGTCGGAAGACCCTCGCGGAGCACAAAGCTGTTTCATCACTGTGTAGAATCAAATCAGAGACTTTACTCGTATTTTATTTTTTAAAATCCACCACCGCATCCGGTACAGTGTGGTATCTGAGGGTTGCTAAGCCCTGTTTTCAGTGGGTAAAACGGCAAGTTGTTGACTCTTATGCTCGGAGTGGACGATTTAAGGGGGGGGAGGGGGAGGGGGAGAGGGAGGGAGAATCCAGTCATCCAGCAGCTTTTATTGCAACAATGTCTTTATGTCTTCTGCATGGTAATAGTTTTAGTATTTGGAGTGGCTTTTCAGCGCTTAGGTTTGATCATTTCTTCTGTATTGTAGCAACTATTTCAGGGCTGTTTAAAATTTTATGGTGATAGTAAATGAGTAGCTATTTATTATCCGTCATGCCAGAATTTAGACGAGGCCCAGAGAAACATTCGAAAATTCTGTGTGGAGGCTCCCTGCGTCTTAGGGGAAGGAGCTGTCCGACTCCAGGCTGCCTTTGCCTTTAAATTTGAACTCCGGGGAGGAAAGATGCTTGTGAATGGAATGCACCTCCATCTTTTTGTGTGTGTGAGTGTGTGTCCAAAAAGAAAGAAAAGCAAGGAAAACTTTGGTTCTCTGGCCTTTTAAAAATGTTTCTCTTTTCAATGACTAAATATAACATTTGGTAAGCAGCCAGCCTTGGGCCTGGCCATCGGAACTTGTGTTTGGAACTGTCTGTTGTTTTTCCTTTTCCCTTTGTGGCATTTTATGTAACAAGGGCTCATAAAAGAGGGAGGGGAGGGGGCCTGAGGCCGTGGTGCAGCATGCCAATAAAGCTGCCTCGTCTCTCCCAAGCGCTGGGGTGAAATCTTTCAGAGGTCACCTATGAAATGAGTTGGGTAGACCTAACATTTACGGTCTCTCTCCTTGGGAGAGTTTGGTGGTGATTGGCAGCTTGGCGGGGTTGGGGGCGGGGGGAAGGTCCAGGAACAAGCTCTTGGAGGGGATTCTGGGCTGCACTTTGGGTCTTGAAGAAGAGCAGCGGGACTCTGCTTGGTCTCCCCAGAACCTGCCCAGGAGTGGCTGAAATGTGGGAGCAGGTATGAAAAAGCCAGCATTTTTAAAGTTTGTTTTCAACTCAACATAAAACTAAAGGTAGTGCTCATTTATAGATTTGCTTGGGAAGAAATTCATACCGTTTCCACCTCCGGAGGTGTGTGTGTGTGTGTGTGTGTGTGTGTGTGTGCGCGCGCGCTGCTCTCTCTTGGAATGTGGGATATAAAGGTTAAGTTTCAATTAAAAGTGCATACGTGGGTGATGAACTAGATAGTAAAGCGAACGGATGACCCCATTATCCACATCTGTTGGAAATACAATAGCGGCTGAGTAATATCTCTTGGTGCCCAGCCATCAATTTCCCATTCATGCCCTTGACACTGGGATTTTTTCAGTTACGTCTAGAAACACGGACAAGTGTTTAGAGGTGTTTATCGAGGACTCGTAGAAGTAAATAGGTTGGTTATTGGTCAGAAGTAGAGAGATACAAGTCCTGTATAACTGTCCGGTGTGGCTCCCGCCATTGACGGACTAGGGGATAAACAGGAAAGCAGCTTCCGTAGGACCTTGCTGTGTGAAAATGGAGTTCATATTTTTTTCTTTAAAAAATGGGGGAAGGGGGAGGTGTGGAGAGTTGGTCCGTGCTGCGTTTTGGGCCAGGCTGCATTCCCAGGCGTGGCCGTGCCTGGCTGCCGGGTTTTTGATGCCCGTGGAAGAGGGACCCCTCGTCTTTAACGAGATATGGTGTGTGAAGACTCCATTAGTTGCTCCAATGGTTTTACGCCATGAATTTGCAGCTCACGCAGAGAGGCAGTAACATTTTTATCTAAATTGTCAAGCAACCAGCACTTCCGTGTAAATAACAGCCCCGTCATAAATGCCGGCTTTTTTACCCCCTTCCTCTTTGAAGTCCTCAGCACCTTTAGAGGCCACATGTCACGGGCATCTCTAGACCTGAACTCCGTGGAGTTCAGCTTCAGCACAGGGTGAGAAGAGCCCTCTGTGTTAACTGCAGCCCATGCTGGTGTGGCCTCGGGAGAGAGACCCCGGAGGTGAACTTGGGGCCTCTCCTGCTGCTCCATCCATCGATTTGATGGACTCTGGATTCCGAGGGGCTGTCCTTAAGTGCAGCAATAAAAATATGTCTTCTTGAAAGGTATTATGTATGTGGCGTGCACCCGGGCGCTGAATCATGTCTTCACCGTGATTCACTATCCGAGTTGGACACCAGGGAAACTCTGCCTTGGAAGTAGGCACTGTGGGGCTGGGCGTCTTCTGGGACATTCCCGATTGTGTACAGTCCTTTGGTAAAAGGGTGTCCCGTTTTCCAAGCTTTCTCAAGTCTGCCCCTCTCCAGGAGGGTAAATTTTCATCTTCCTGACTTAAGGGTCGAAGATCTCATGCTTCAAATATTATTACATTCTAAAGAGAAAAGTCTCGCAGAGCTCTACGCTCCATCCCCTGAAGGGAAGGATGTGGTCTAGGCTTGGCAGGACCCAGCCCGTTCCGCCAGCCACCACGCTCACCACCCGCCCTGCAGCCCAAGCCCCCGCCCACACTCATCTGAGCCCTGCCCCCCGGAGCCCCTTCTTCCCCTCCCCACTCCCACCATCATCTCTTAATTGAGGATTTGCATCTCCTGTGAGAAGTAAAAAAAAAACCAAAAACCCAAAACAGCTTTATTGAAGGACATGTCACGTGTCCTATAATTCACCCATTTAAAATGCACAATTAAATGGTTTTTTGTATATTCACAGAGATTTGCCATTGTCACCACCATCAATTTCAGAACATTTTCATCTCAACAAGAAACCCCTTGGCTCTCACCCGCTCCCCACCCCCCCACCCAGCTCTAAGCAACCTCCAGTCTACCTTCTGTCTCTGTGGGATTGCTTATTTTGGCTTCCCCTGTGAATGGAATCCTACGACCAGCTTCTTTCGCAGAGCGTAACGTCTCAAGGCTCATCTAAGTTGTAGCCGATGTTGGTACTTCAGTCCTTTGTTGTGTCTGAATGATGTTCTGTCCTACGGACGGACCACGTTTTGTTTGTCCGTTCACGGGTGGGTGAGCGTTTGGGTTGTGTCCTCCTTTTGACCACATGAGTAATGTACCACGTCGCCTCTCGCCCCCTCCGGTATGTTCTCCTTGGTCTTCAATCAGCACCCTCTTCACCTCACTCTTGCACGTGGCGGTGCGGTCTCCGTGGTTGCTTTCCGGCAACTTCTCTGGCACCTCGAGCGGTTTCCTGCCTCTGCACAGCGCTGGCCAGCGTCTCCCTCCTTCTGGTGGCTGCTGTCAGTGCTAGACCGTAAGCTCTGTGCAGGGGGGTGGCTTTGTCTG